CAACTGTAGTAAAGCTCAACGAAATGTCAAGTCACAGGTAAATCCTAAGTATTTGTAGTATTTTCTTGGGTTATTATTGTCGCAAGGAATAACCTTTTAATAATTAGTCATTTCTGTTTTTAGTGCTTCATGCTCAAGTGACATTTCAGTCGACCTAACCGATGCCTTTCGAAGTATGATACTGAACAAGCGTTTCGTCTTGTGGGATGATTTTGAAAGCGCCTTAAAAGAGTTCCAAAAAGTATGGAATTATAGTTTTATCGCTTCTCAGACTACTTACACTCGTTACATCCACACAGAGAGCAGATTGCTGAAGGATGTCAGGTTCAAATACCTGTTTGTAACGTCTCATTGTACGTTTGGTCATAAGAGGAAATCGGAAGGTTTGAAAGTGAGGCAAAAATCGTAAGATCTGTAACTAATATCTTATGTTTAAGGTCTAAATTCCGTAATTGTCAATCTAAATTTCGTGTAAGACTAGAGGAGCAAGGATATGTCATCAAATCCTACAACATGCTCCACAATCATCCATGTAGTAGTTCATGGATGGTATGTGATCCATTGACAAGGAGATTATCGTCAGAAGAAAAAGAGAACTTGAAGCCCGTAATACTTCACTGTGAGTCAGCAGATGAAGTTATCGAAAGCATTAAGGAGAGAACTGGTAAGCAAGTAACTGCTGCCGATGTCAAAGGGATGAAAGCTACCCTCTCCACTGGTAAGTGTATATAAATATATTTCAGGTTGTTGTACTCGGAACCAGGTAATGGATATGCTTAGACAGAGAGGCGAAGTGAAGGAACATTTAGAAAATGGATATGCCACTAGAATATGTTTCAGTAGTTCTAACCAAATACAACTGTACAGAAAATATCCAGAAGTTGTGTGCATTGATTCTACGTATAATACTAATAATAAAAAGTGAATATGTTTATCGTTGTATTTTACTATGTAGATATTCCTTATTCCAGTTAGTAGTGACGGATAATTGCGGTCGAGGTCGAACTGTAATGTTTGCATGGACTCTAAGGGAAAAGCGTGCTGATGTTATATGGATTCTAGATCAATTCAAAGAGATAATGGGGGATACAATGTTGACTGAAACATTTGTGATGGACTGCGCAAGATGTGAAAGCGCGGCTGTCCGTATGACACACGGACATGCAAACATAATTTTGTGCGCCTTTCATGTAATTCGCGCTTTCCGGAAAAAGGTACACCAATGGTTACTTATATAATATTGCCCTTAGACAAACGACAAAATAATTAAAGCCTACTTAACTCGATTGGTAACTGCGGAGACGGTTGGAAGGTAATTTTAGTAATGTGTTTATTCAATAGATTTAATCAATATTACAGAATAATAAATCGGCGGGACAGATTGATAGGTCAGTACCTGTCACGTTTTTGGATGGCACGTAAGACGATGTGGGCGCGTGCCTTTTACGGTCATGTTTTAACATTCGGTAACAGCACGAATAATCGTGTTGAATCGCTGAATAGACAAATTAAACGATATGTACGCAAAAGTGATAGTCTGTACAAGTGTATGTACAAGGCTTTAAGATGGAGTGATTTGACGTCAGCTAGAAGAAGCATCGAAGATCAAGTGATAGCCGCAAGATCTTATAAATATAATGCTCCACAGCGTTTTACACCCCTGCTAAATATTTTGACCCCATTCGCTAGATCTAAATTGTTATACGAACTTAAGCAAATGCGTTTTGTCTACGTTGAATATGAAAGCGGTGATTGGTTGTTTATGGTTGATCGCGGACAACATTATGAAGTTGATATAAGCATTTGTCAATGCAATTGTAGCACGTTTATGATGTGCCGATATCCCTGCCGTCACATGCTACTTGCATACGTTAAAAGACGAAATCTTACAGGTAAGCTATATCAATTATGAAATACTAACTGCATAGCTCATCAACTTCTTAGGTATTGTAGCAGATGGAAGTTACATAATACCCAGAACTTCCAAAATTATACATTAACTGGATTAACACGACGGAGTGAAGTGTATATAAGTATTCAACGAAGTCAAAGAATCCATAAGCAACGCATCATTGAGAAGTATGGTGAACGTTTTGCAACGGAAGTTGAGAAGAAGGTGGACAATTATTACTTAAGAATTCTTAATACCAACTTGTAAACTTGATTTTTTGCTTTAGCATCAATGATTATTCAATAAACTGTCATAATTTTTATTTTCATCTTATTCCTAGTTTCATGGGAATAAATAGCAATGACGTTCATGTGTAACTGTTTGTAATAATTAAGAATGATTCAGAAACCCTACATCCACGTACAATCTTGCAGATTAGGCACCCACATATCATATTCACCTTCGTCGGATTACGTTTATAATTAAAATCGTATCAGTAGCTAAGATTTTAATTCCATGTGATTAGTTCCGCTTATGAATTAAAATGAAACCAGGATAAATGTTGATTAACAGTGGTATGCATTCGTTATAACTAAATATGCATTAGGATTTAACAGTGATGTGGGAAACAGTTGACATACCTTAATATGAATAATTGAAATGACGTGGGTTATCAATAATGACTATATATATATATATATGCAGTTTAAGGTCAAAGGTCATTTGTTTTTACAGTCAATAACACATTAAGAATGGGTGGTGTAATAGTTGACTGGAGTTCACAGACAGATAAGTGGTGTGAAAATCTTATGGCCTATAAGTGATCCGTGGATTTAAGAACTGAAAACTTGGGTCACGTAATAACTTATTACAATTTGAAGAGGTCACATAATTACAGAGGATTAAGTGAGCAGATGTAAGTGACAGGGTGCTGGAATAAATCGGCAACTAAATTTTAAAAGTGAAATGAATTAATACATAATCCATCTTATTACTTGTTCACTCCATGGATTATAAGGAGTTCATATTCTTCTATATCTATATTTGTTCTAGCGTCATATCGACTATTAATAAAGACGGACACGGTTTATAAAGTAAGACAATAAGTGTAGTTGCTATATTTATATTTCACTAATTCATTAGTTGAATAAAAATGTTACTAGGCAATACGGAACACAGTTAACGTGAACATGTAAACCGTTTTTTAACAAATTCTGTAAGTTGTAGACCGGCGTAAACATCACAAACCTTTGACGACTTTATTGGATTCATACAATTCTGAAAAACAAACAAATCAGTTGTGAAATAAAGAATTAGACCCAGTTATAAGTATCACATTCAATAAGTACATCAAATAGCAGGTTACAGAATGTACCTATAAGTCTCTTATTTGCAGACAGCGCTAATCATTAGTGATTTCTATTTCCTTTAATAATAATTAATAGGTAATCTTTACAACACACAAATCAATGTTATTTAAAAATTGGCATAAACGAGATATGAATACAAGGAACTTGTGATTCTGCTTCCATTGCTCATTCACTTTTCGTCCCGTTGTCTGCATGAATTACTTCGGACGAGTCACTCTGTAATACAGTAGGAATTCATTAATTAACTCATGAATAGTTGTTTTTTATTCAAGTCTGTGTCGTAACAAGCACTGGGAATTTATTCAGTGTCTAACCCTTGTATTATTTCGTACATACATCTGGTATTAGCAAGAAAAATTGGTAAGTACCATTTAGATATTACTCGACAATATGCATCATAAGTTTGTTCACATTTTCGTCTGAGACTGTGCATTTCGTTTACAGAAAATTATTCGTCAACGCTATAACAGACACATCATGAATCAATATTAGGTACGACATGGTTTTGTCACCATGCTCAGAAGAGACAGCCATCGTTTCACTTTTGAAGATTTTGTGCCTATTTAATGTGGTGTTATACACTGTTCCTGTATACGTTCAGAAAGCCGGTAAAAAAGACTATCAACATCAATTCTTACTCACATAATTTTTCTCTGATACGTTACACAATAATATGTCACTTCAATACCAAACAATGCTACCTTTAGTGCAAATAACATTTTATGGCTAAATACAAACAATTTATATAATATCCATAGTTAGTTTAATGCTTACTTCTTTCTGATAACATCGTATAAACGACTGCGAACATCTATGTTTGCTGTCACCATAATCAAGGAGGTGAACCATATATAATGCTTTTCACGGCTTATATTCATGAAAAGTCAATCTGTTTTCTATTTTTCACTAGAAAAATGGTGATTTGACTTGTTTGACCTTGTATTATTAAAAAATAACCATATTACGCCAACTGCATGTTTACTTAGGTGGTGAGCACAAAATACGTCAAACTGCTTATAAATTGAAATAAATACTATCTTCCAATCACAAAGATTACGAGAAGTCACGTATGATGGAAAAAAGGCTGTTAATAGCTGATAAATAACGAAACATAAAATCCACGACAATATGTTACATGTGCGCGAAAACCCGTAAACTAACACACATAGTGTGCCTACCTGTCCATAGTGTACAGTTGATTGTTGCGCTCAAATCACAAGTGACCTTGGAAAGGATCGGTTGACTGCTTGATATTCAGTGATCTGGCTGCCAAACGGTTTGACTACAATACAATGATATATTTCTGCAAGCAGTAGGGTCTCGATCAAACTTATCTAGATAACCCTTCGTTAGTTTAGAGAGTAAGAGAGGGAATTTGTTCCCACTCATTACCCGAGAACTAATCCCAATATCTTATACACATCATGAAATTCAGAGTTTGGTTAGATTGAGTCAAATCTGAAGGTATTTTGTGTGCCGGGGAAGTGAAAAGAATAATGTTTGCGAGAGAAAACAGAAAACGAAGGGAAATGAGACGTCCGCTAACTAATCACATAGAATTCACTTTCATGAAATAAAGAAAGCCCTATACGACAATCCATTTCGGGATAAGCATAGCATCAAGACAGTCTGGTAGTCAAACTAGAAGTTGATAAAGCAAGATTTCGAATATTTTACAATAGTTATCAAGGCCATAAATGATGAACCAGATACCGGTCATTTGAAACTGACCAATCGTAATGAGCCGTAAGTTTCAACACATACTCAACGTTATCATTTAAAGCTCATTCGGATGATGATGATTTTCCTGCTAAAGAAGAGGATGAAGTGTCCATTCCTCGCGCTTCGCTTAATAAGTTTGTCAAGGAGGTACTACCAGATGCACGGTTAACTACAGAAACACGTGATCTTCTCCTAAATTGCTGTCATTGTTTTATTCACAAATTGGCTACGGAAGCTAATATCGCATGTTCTAAAGCTAATAAAAAGACTATAAGTCCACAGCATATACTTGAGGGTGAGGGATATGTAACCAGACTTCATCGTACATTTCAGGTCTGGATGCCATGAACTTATCTTCCTATAAAGAACATGCTGAAGTGGCTTGTCAGGAAGCTAAAGAAGAAATCAAAGGTCGAAAAATGCTTAGTGCTAGTTATCGGTTTAAACACCAAGACAGCGAAGAGTTGGAAAGACTAGCTAAAGAACAACAAGAAATTTTCGAACAGGTATGGGATTCTGGTGTCTTTCTTGTTTTCTTCGTTTACAAATATTGTTTAGTAAAAAGTCTGGTCAAAATGTTTGTCTTGTACTTAATGTGATATTTTCTGTTTGACACAACAATAATGTTAAGTTTTCAGGATCACTAGTATATACTATTGCTTTTTGTCACACAACATAGAACCTGACAAAAATATGCGTCAGCTTAGCTTTCTACCACACTAGTACTGTAGTTCATACCTCCACAAAACAGTTCTCGTACAAGAGTTGATGAATTTAACTCAAGACAGGTCGTATTTGTCGAGTCCATGTTTTTTACTAATTTACTTTAATGTTATCAAGCTTTGAAAAATAGGACGTTCAAACCAAGAGGATCTCAAGTTATTTCTTGGTCCTCTTATCTTCTTTTCACACTTTCTCAACCTAAGCGTAAGAAAAAAGGCGGATATTATCAGGTCTAGATTCGCATCCTGGTTACGTGGGTCTTAAGGTATTTGAGTCGTCCACACATCGCTTTCCATTCTAGTCTTTATAAACTCTGTAAATATAGTAGAATGGCTTTTTTAAGCTTGATAAATTCCAGTTTACCATCGACACTATTCCAAAATCTTTAGACATAATCAGATAAAAGTAAGCCTTGATCTTCATACTGTGACGTTTATGTCCTTTTCACAGAAAACTGACGGCGGAAATGTCTTGAGAAATCGCACTTATACCATTTATGCGTCCGATATACGTGGGGATATATTTGGTTGCATTAGACACTTGATATTGTCCGGTATTTCGTTCACATATAGAACAAATGAATTTACTGATATTTGAATCAACAGTTAGGCTGGGGATCTTTTAATCTACATCAGTTTATATCAAAATGGAAATCGCACACAGTAATTGTCCTTAAGTCATTTAGCCTTGTTAATTGCACATATCTTTGATTGTTCTTATACGGAACTTATGTTCCACGACATTCGATACCTGACATGGCATAGATTTGTAGCTCAAGTGGATGATCATATGTGAAAAATGTCGAACACTTCACTTTTACCTGAAGTTTATGCTGATGGTGTTCAGAAAAACGATGAAATCTCCACGACCAAACCATCCAGCTCAGAGCGCAAAATAATACCTTTAAAAGGGATATTAGAGTCTACTTAACCAAATAATATGAAATCAACGGAAAAGCAGATGACAATTTGGTACAAAGTAGTAGGAAGTTAACTATTCTTTTAGCCTACATCACCTAACAAGTCTTTCGCTTGAGAGGAGTATTTTTATATCAAGACCATTCGTTTGTGCGGTTTGTCAGGTTCCCTTTTATAAAACTAGATCATGGGATAAGTGTTCTCAAGTGTTATTTAGGGGCCAGGTTCCAATTAAATTAAGGATCTCAGAAAGTGTCACTCAAAATGATCTCTTTTTGATTGCCACAGAAAGATTGTGGTCTCCATAAACTGAAGTAATTGAGACTAATCAGACGGAATTATGATGGATTAGTGAATTTTTTAATATATCTGTCACTGACTAACCAATCCAGATCAGCAGTACATATATTCGTTAGGATTTATTGGTAATACTAGTGGAACCTCCAACCAACTGTGCTGGATCATTAAAATTATTTGCATATTCGCATTTCGGCAGATTTGGGAATGCTCTTATTTTTGGAGTTTGGATGCTACGTTAGATACCAAGTTACTGATGAATCTGCAGGACTTGATAGCCAATTTAATTTCCACTTAAAAATTAGTTCGTTGTATCCGGTAACTGATCATAACTCATGGTTGTCCATTTGCATGTTTAACGATTAATTTTTACTTCTTTTAAAGGCAAGGGCTGATTTCATTGGGGAACGGTTAGACAGAGAAGACTTGTTGGCAGCTTCAAATTGTGCTGCATCAGACCTTAGTAACTACATGATCGGACATGGATTATCACAGTCTTGTAATTATCCAAATGTTAACTCTGGAGATATTAATTCAGCAACCGAATCATCTACTTTGCCTACAGCTACTGGATCCGGACGAATTTTAGGCTCTTCAGTCATTGGAGATGATGATAATTATGACGAGTAACTATCCTACTGATATGTTTTCACCGTGTCTGTAAATTAAAGTGATAACATTACTTAATGTATAGATTACTGTTATAACATATTTTGTTTTATGCGAATTGAAATGCTGGTTAAGTTGTCAACTTGTATTAAACAGGGTTAAAAACCGACTTCATAGATCAGTGTACTGGTATTTTTATAAACATACAAAATTAAACTACTTGACTCAGTTACAGATTTAATTTCGAGGCAACCAACTCCGCCTGTTACTCTTCCACGACTGCTGTTGGTCCCAAGCTCACAAAAAGGAGCAGGGTTTGGCGTGGTGTCAGCTTACCTAACCCGTAGAAAACAACCTTGCTAAACAAACGCTAACCAAAACAAACAAATTAAACCATTTAAAGTCTGCCCTGGGAGTTGAAGGAAAAATGATGAATACCGAAATTCTTCGGAAGTAACGAACCTGATGCCCCTTCTAACAACCAGAGCAACAACTTATATGGGTACATGAAATGTTCGGACAATGTGGGAGATCGGGAAGACAAACCAAATAACTGCGGAAATAATGAGATACAACTTGACAATGTTCGGAATCAGTGAAACTCATTGAACCCAATCTGGACAGAATAGGATATATTCGGGAGAGATATTGCTGTACTCTGATCACGAAGAAGAGAATGCTCCACACAACTAGAGAGTCGCTCTGATGCTGTCCGAAGAACCACGGAAAGTCCATATAGGATGGGAATGTCATGGACCCAGGATAATCAAAGCATCTTTCAAAACAGTAAAGGGAATCACAATGAATGTTATCCAATGTTATGCGCCCACCAATGACAGCAACGAAGATGATAAAGATCAGTATTATGAGAGGTTGCAGTCATCATAGAGAAGTGCTAAGGAAAGCAACTGACCATCATGATGAAAGACCTAACCGGCCGTTGGAACGGACAACAAACGGTATGAAGATATCATGGGATGATATGGACTGACTAGGAGAAAGGAACGAGAATGGTGAGAGATTTGCAAATCTATGTGCATTCTTGAAATAGTTATAGGCGGCACAATATTCCCACACAAATGCATACAACAAACTATATGGGTCTCACCGGATCACAATACACAGAACCAGATAAATCATATTTGTATCAATAAAAAACTCGGGAGGTCAATGGAAGACTTGAGAACCAGGAAAGGAGCTGACGTTGCTTCAGAACACCACTAGCTGGTGATTGCCAAGGTGAAGTCGAAGCTGAAAAAAATACTGAACATCTGGGGAGACGGCAGTACAAAGGTTCAACAAAGCCTTTCTTCGACATGTTGACAGACTCAACCAATTCAAGATAGCTCTCAACAACAGGTCCCAGCACTACAAAATCTCACAAAGGAAGAAACTATGATGGAAGACAAGTAGAAAATAATCAAAGAAGCACTGCCTTTAACGTATCAGGGGGTGCTGGATCACAACAAGCATCATTGTAAGGAAGGGATTTCCATCGAAGCACAAGACAAGATTCAAGAAAGCAAGAACAAGAAGACAGCAATTAACAGCAGTCAAAAAGGAACAGAGAGAGAGAGAGTCAGGGCACAAGCTGAATACACAGAAACAAACAGACAAGTAAAGAAGAGCATTGGAGCTGACAAGCAGAAGTACGTGGAAGAGCTAGCAGCGACAGCGGAAAAAGCTGCAGGACAAGGAAATGTGAGACAACTATATGACACAACGAAAAAAATGGAAAGGAAATATTGTAGGCCAGAGTGAGCGGTCAAGGACAAAGAAGACAAGCCAGTCACTGAGATTCAAGAACAGAGGAAGGATGGGTAGAACATTTCAAGGAACTCTTGAATAGTCCAGCTCCACTGAGTCAAACGGACATCGAAGCAACACACACACACACACCTTACTATAGATGTCACTCCACCAACGACGGGAGAAATCAGGATGGCTATCAGACAACTCAAGAGTGGGAAAGCGGTAGGATCTGACAATACAACAGCCGAAGCACTGAAGTCACATATAGAAACAACTGCAAACATGCTTCATATGCTATTCAGGAAGATTTTGAACTAGGAACAATGCCACCGACAGACTGGAGAGAAAAGTAACTCATCGAGATACCAAAGAAAGATCTGAGGAAGTGTGAGAATTACAAAGACCTCACACTACTGTCGGTACCAGAAGAAGTTTCAACGGTGCTGCTGAGTCGGATGAAAGATTTAATAAACGTCCAGCTTCGAGATCAACAGATTGGATTCCGTAAGGATCGGTCGTACACAGACCAAATCACCGTACTACGGATCGTCGTTGAACAATTAACTGAATGGAACTCGTCACTATACATCAATTTCCTTGGTTATGAGGTGTTTGACAGCGTGAATAGTAGGATCTTACGAAACCTTCTTCGACACTATGGTGTACCTGAGATCTATATATATCATACGGGATTCATACGACGGACTACACTGCGAAGTTGTGGATGGAGGACAGCTGACAGACGTATTCCAAGTGAGAACTGGGATAAGAAACGACTAATTACTCTCTCCCTTTCTGTTTCTTCTGGTAGTTGACGGAATTATAAGGACCTCGAGATCTGAGTGGAAGCACGGAATACAATGAACAGCTTGGAATCAATCAGAAGATTTGACCTTTCTATCACATACACACACACACACACAAATGCATACACAACACGGAGAACACCAACCCAGTCAAACTTGATGGAGAAACTCTGGAAGTGGTGGGAACTTTCACGTACCTTGACAGCATTACCGATAAACAAGGAGGATCAGATGCAGACGTAAATGCAAGGATTGGCGAAGTTAGGGCAGCATTCCTACAATTGAAGAACATATGAAACTCAACTGTTAACGAATATCAAATTCAGAATCTTCAATACGAACGTCGAGACAGTTCTACTGTATGAAGCTGGAACTTGGTCAGTCAGTCAGCTACAACGTAGGACCAGGCACATGTGCATCGGTCCAGGTTGCCATACCTCATTAGCACAACAAGATGAACACCGAATTCATAGGAGTGGTTAGGTCAAAGGTTGCAATAAGGATATAGTATAGGAAGGAAGAATTAGTTCGTAGAAAGAAAGATATGAAGTGATTTAATCTCTTAGTTTAAGGGAAGACAAAGAGTGTATACACCGACGCCATTGTGATCGATTCTGAGCCATGTCACCAAGAGTCTCCAACCATTGGAGAACCACTACAACCATAATCAAACATGTATAAGTATTTATAAAAAAATTTCTACGTTAGACACTCAATGTCCGTTGGTCGGATACCACCAACAACAACCTATTGTGGCAGAGAACAAGCCAGATTTCAGCTGGAGGAAATTAGGGAAAGACGCTGGAGGTGGACAATACTTACAATGAGGAAATCATCAAACTGCATCACGAAGCAGGCGCCAACTCGGATGTGCTTTTCTAGACTATACTTCAGCTTTTGACTCTATACCAAGACAACGTTTACTTAACAAGTTAATCAGCGTCAACACTGACAGCTGGATAACCAACTGGCTGTGTTCCTACCTCTCTGGAAGGGAACAGTACACTGTGTTTGGAGGAAAGAGTTCAGATTCTCTACTGTCTCAGGAAGGTGTACCACAAGGAGCTGTTCTTTCACCTCTTCTATTCTCTTTTTTTCTGCATGACCTGCCATCTTCCACAGAAAACACTTTTGTGAAGTACGCGGATGATCTCACTGTATGTATGCCTATATCTTCCTCTTTACATCCCATAGAAATGAATGAGTTTTTGTCTCGTATTGATTGTTGGTCTGTTGGTAATGGTCTCATACTTAATCCATCTAAATGTCAAGCTGTTAACTTTAGTATGAGACATGAACGGAATATAAACACTATTTTGAGATCCCATAGTGCTTGTACCATCGGAGACTCTTTGATAAACGCGGTGTCGAAGGTCAATTATCTTGGTGTCACCTTTTCCTCTGATCTGTCTTGGTCTTCCCACGTTTTATCGTTATCAAAGAAGGTTTTCCGTCTGACCTACTACATAAAGAGATTGCATGCTCTTGGAATTACTCGTCATTCTCTCTTACAATTTGTCAATTCTTGCATATTACCTATTATTCTTTACTGTTCTCCATTATTCTTTCCCGGGCTTTTGAGAAAAGACTTTGCTGTATTGCGAAGAGTGCTAAAGGCAGTTAGTAAGACGTGTGGTGAATCTTTCGAGGTCATAATTAATATGGTTGTGGATAGACATTTAAAATCATGCAAACTCCTGGCAGGTGTTATTTTATCAGATACTAGCCATCCCCTTCACTCTTATCTTTCTCCTTGTATATCTTCTGGTAGAACGAGACGTAATTACATAAAAATCCTTGCACGCAAGGAAAAGTATAAAAGTTCTATTATACCTTACCTAGCAAATATACTCTGTGACGAACAGGTTGTTAGAATTAACTTAGTCAATAACTTACATTCTTAACATGTCTTTAATTTTAAAAGTTTGTAGTTTCTTTTGGTTTTTTTTTTTTTTTTTTTAAATTTTTATTTTATATATTTCTTTATATATTCGCTACTGCCTTTTTTGTTCGTTGTTCAGTAAGTAACTTGTTGAAATACCCTGTGCTGAGAATTCTATATTGTACCAAAATATAATATTGAATAAAGCCATTAATTAATAATAAAAAATCCTGAAAGGAAATGGAGAGGAGGAAGACCAAAGACCACACTGCGTCAGGAATCAGACGCAGACATCATAGGGATGAATATCAACTGGGATGGATTACCCAGGACAGAGGTGGATGGAAACTGTTAGCGAGCAGCCTATGCTCCTTCACGAGGGGTAACAGGTGTAGATAAGTAATCAGGTAACTGTTCCTTCTGAAACTGCTATCCCCTCCAATGAAAAAATAGTTCGTCCCTCAGATTTTCGAGTTAATTCTCAATGTGATCCATTTTTTAATTTGTAAGTACCGTAGAATAGGGATAAATATGGCTAAAAGCTTGTTCTAAGCTGTTGCTATGATCATGAGAAAATACCTTATTTCTAATCAGGGTTTGAGACTTAAAATGTAGGGGAAGACCAGTCATTCGCATTACTATTGGATCATGGGAAGTAAACTAGCGTACAACCGTGTTCGCAAAGTCGATCCATACTTCGGTTACCATCAGAAAATATTTTCTCCCAACCTTTTAAATAAAGTATGCCTGTTAGCCTTAACACATATTAGTTCTACTATAGTGAACGAAAACACCAGTGGGAATAACCGAAAGTATTTGTACACAAAATTACAGAATCTCTTAGTAAAATTTGAGAACCATACAATAAATACTTCATTTGCAAAATGTCTATCAATCGTCCCAGACTTCATTGTTCTTTCGTTTCCACACCAATCATTCTCTGTTCTCGTTCTCTTTCCTTCGATCTTCTCAATCTTTTGCCGCCAGGCATTTCACTTTCGATTGATGATACATACTACTTATATCTGTCGATGTCAGTGGCACACACACCAGACTAACAGGTATATATGACGAATAACTTGGAGTATTTGAATTTAACTGGCTAGTCTTCGTAATTTCGAACCAGTCATTTATTTAAGTCCGGATATCTCACTGTTAACTCTAATTCGGACACGTGCAATATTTATGAAACCCTAATAGTCTATTTGAACCGGAAAGCGGTTTATAATAACTTGAGACTAACTACTTATGGGCATCTATTTCATGATAATACTCATTCGGTTAGTAAATCTACATGATAAGCCCGAAACTTTTAGTAAGTTTCACAAAATATTATACCCATTTAAAAGGTTAATTTAAAAAATGTTTAGACGTCTAAAACAAACTTAAGTTTTACTGTTGGAAGTGATAATCAGATTTGCGCCTAATATATGATGAATTATTCTCAATCTGTCGTCGTGTTTTGAGGTTAATAAATATTCACTTATACCAGTTTTTGTGTTTTTACTTTCGCGTCGTGGGAATTTCGGAGGTCCCTCGTTCCAAGTGTAAGTGATAAGCGTTTTCGACACAACAATCAGCGACGACCACATATAACAAGTAGCATTCAAACAAGTTATAACACTTCTAACCCAATTTAGCGGGTTAGTTATCTCGCCAAACTTCAAATGTATGTTAATCGAGTTGTCTGTTCTACATAGATTTTATACGGTGATTTATAAGTTATTATAAAAAGCGCCTCATTATTTAGGTAGTTGGTTTTCCTACATTTGTATGGTTTTCTCCACAGGAACGTCTCTATCTGGAGAAGTATTACGCATGTCTTGTACTGTCACATTCACATATGAAATCAAACTCCAGAGCTTCAGACTACACAACAAGCAAGATATTATTGACCCACTAAATCGAAATCTATTGCTTTATTTAGTATGTAATACATCAAAACTATCATTCAGCGTTAGATTTGGACATTTATTCTTATCTAGGATATGACTGACTTTTCGCGAGTTACGAGAGTTGTAATAAATCTCTGTGAAATTCACCTTCAGGCTATTAGTGGACAGTGTGCAGTTTTTAAAATTTGCCTAAAATAGTATCTAAATATCTTGAAATTTACTTTATAGACCATACCTCTATTTTATGATTTGTGCACGTACGTAAACAGGCTACACAAATCACATGACACAACTAATGTTCTATAATTCTTTCTGTAATAGAACAAAAACACTTGAGTTGCGTTTATCTCAATGGAATTACTAGTCACAACATTTATTACCACCTAAATAAGCCTTTCGTCTTGGCTGTCGTCGCTTATACTCACTCATGAGTTATATGTATACCTTTATCTGAAAAACAGTTTTACATTCACAATCCCAATTAATTCTTTTTTACAAATTTCAACAAGATGTGAAATAAATCTCATTATTCTAAAAAATACAGTACAAAATAACAAAACAGGAAACAAGCAATTCTATCTTAACTTATTACAATATACAGTTTAGTATTTAATTGTTTTCTAAAACGACAAAACATACGAATCAACAAACTTATACAATGGCATTGAACTAGTTTTTTTTGAGAATAGTGCAGAATAATAATATCTCAGGATTGTTGATGTTGAAGACATTCCAAATAAATTCATTGGAATTTTCTGTTCCTCTTACTACCACTACTATTTCTTTTTCTTCAATAAGATCTTGGTGTTAATGTTGTCATTGTCATTTACTTAATTTTCTCTTCTTAATTCATGGAATTAATTTAAAACCATTGAGGCCGTTGTTGAATATGCTGTTCATGAAGATGTTGTAGTACAACTGGGTTTACATCAGATGATGATAATAAACAAATAAGGTCTGTGGGTGCTTCCGATTCTTTACGTGCTAAAGGAGCAGGTTTATCAAGTGGCAGTAGGGATGAGCTTAACTAAAACAGTTGAAAAAAAATCGAAAAAAAGGTTTCAGTAGTTTATACTTTATATGCACAGACTACTACTACTACTACTACAAACGAGAATAGTTTGAAAACACTTGTTTATACATTGTTTTCTGATAAAGGGGAGCGAAAGTTATCCCTTTCCGCCCCTCCCCCCTAGATTACGTCTCATGATGAAGGTTTACCGTATAACTATGGTTACCACATACCACTGTGCTAAAGAACCTCGTACTAGGAGATTGCAGTATGAGTCCAGAGTAAAACTGGGTAAAATGGATGTGAATTTCTACTATACCAGATGAAAACCCAATATTTAGAACATATCATAGCATACAGATCAAGAAATTGAATGTTGCCATTAAACTGACTGAAAAAACAGTATCTATTAACGGAGGGAAATCTTAGCGATTGAAATTTAAGTAAATCCATTTCGTCTGACAATCTGGTTCGAGCTTTTTTAAGGAAATATAATTATTGCTTCTAATTTATAATAACTGAAGGTAATCCGGAAGTGATTTAAACCGGAACTTCTGGTAATCATCAACTACTTGGTTGAAGTCAATGGGTGGGGAAATATAATCACAACCCAGCTCACATCTTCATAGAACTACTGTCGTTAGTTTGAAAAGCAGGTACTAGAATGCTAACCAATATCATATTGTCTGGTCAAAAGTAATGATCGACTCTAATGATAAAATTGCAGCAAATCTATATTTAGACATTTCTGTCAACTGTCTAGGTTCATCTAACACCAACCAGAAGTGTAGCATGTTTTTGAGAGGTAAAATTCTTGAATTCAACACTTGGCTATCACAGTTTTAAATCTCACAGAGTCGCCTCAAAACTGTTAACGTATCCTGTTGGTGAGCACTGACCGATAGAAAACATAGATTTAGTGTATCCTTTGTTAATTGTCTCAAACTGCCTATTACTAATTCATCAAGTGATATTTACAGTTATTTTATGTACACAAAACGATACCTCTTTCTGCGTTTGGTGACCGTATCGACTTTTTAAAGCCTCTTTTTCTTGTAATTCTTTTGCTTGTAATAATTTAGCATATCTTGGTGGCAGATTTCGTTTGAATGTTGCGCTTAAGCTTAGTCTTGATAAAGATGTTTCTACTCCTCCTACTCCTGGCATAGGTAAATTTCCTCTTAGAGAACCAACATCTGAATTTCCACAAACAGTAGTGGGTATGGATGCTCCGGTGGAATCCAGTTGTTGCTGGTCGTCATTAATAATGGAATTAGTAGGCATATTGAATCGTTGTTGTCTAGCTGCAACCTACAATATAATGTTAGGTGAAAATTAACACACGACGTTATTCAACATTATTTGATTTTACGTAAAATGATTCAGTCTGAAAAAACGTACAATTGGTCAAAATCTCTGATTTTCATGTGGAATAATTATGAATTTGAAGAGAATTATCAATGGGAGGAATATAAGCATGAATCACGTTCGGTAGATGAGGATTTACGGTTGTATCAATCGGTTTGTTATACTTCTCTAATACCCTTACCCTCCTAACGTTAACACATTGTTTCCGAAATACACGAGAAATGTTTTCTAAGACACTTATAATCAAAAACTAGTAATCTACGTATGGTATGTAGCTTTAAGGACTACGTTTTACTGTTACTGTAAAATAAATCAAAGAGAACTGATGCTAGGTATACCCACCCCTTTAGTTGGGAGACAGATATGTTTGCTATACCAAGTATGATGCAAGTTGGCAAAAGCTAGGCGAGCTTTTTGAATCCACGCTGAGATTCGTAATAAGTGATCAGTAATCGAAAAAATGTATACATTATTTTACAGAAGACACATTTGATTTCTGATTATTAAGAAGCATGGTAACTGTTACTTGGGATGTAGGGTGTTGATTATAATCTGTTCAAGTAGGGTCAACTGCTTAAAACCCATCTTCTTTCAAAATCTCAACAACTACAGAAAAATATAGTTCTTACTGTTCAGGCTCAATATAAAGTGCAAAATCATGTTCTGTTTAGCAGATAATCCTGCTTTCATATTTCTTGATTTAATTTGCATATCAGTGTCTGGAGTCTACTGCAAATACATTTAAGTATTATTCCTACTACCAAACATCGATAGGTTTTCGGAGACAAGCTTTCATGTATTATATTTTCTAGTAATTGGACATTTTTCACTCAAGTCGATTGATCAATTTGTATACCCTAGTATTCTATGTTTTCGTTATGTGAAAACGAAGCTTTTTGACTAAGATGCACACAATTCCATGGTGATAGAAGTAAATAAATATAAAGGATTGGTAAATAAAATAAACACGAAAGCTTGGAATATAGATTCAATCAGTGTCGTAAATCTGATATATTATAGTCATCAAAACACTCCAAAAGGTGCTGTGTAGATAGCTCTAGATAAGCATATCTCTGCAACCTTTCATACATGGTAACATTTAGTTAAATTTAGTGTAGGAAAAACAAACATACACACCTGGCTGGCTTGTTCTTGAATAAATTTAGCTAACTCTGCATTCATGATAAGTCCACCAGAGGTCCCAACATGAGATAGTAATGAGGAAGGTAGTGATGATGTAGTTGACGATACTACAAAATCGTTTGATGTAGTTACTTCGGGAGATGATGATTCTGTGGTTTGATTACTTATTGAATTAGTTCTTATTGTTTTATGATGGATAGTTACAGGGATATTAGATAATTGTTCGTTGCCGTTACCACAAGGAGGAGCCGATTCAGGCAAATTAGGCTTCATATTTATTAAAAAAAAGAGAAATGGCAAATAATTAATATCAGATTCATTTTTTTTACTTCTCATTAAAATATGAACACAGTAGTAAAATGTAATTTCTAGAAATGCTTATAAATATTTGAAGGTTTGATAAGACTAAACAATGTTAGACAATAAGAGTATCCGGTATATACTTGATATAGAACGGTATTGCTGTTAAGCGAAAAAACACATGAAGTGCATACATTGAACAGTCTATTAAAAAAATGAGTTGCGCTAAATGAACAAACTATCTAATTCTACCTATGGTGAAAAAATCTTTATGTCATCGGTGAAAAATTCAGGGAATTATTCCAAGTAATAAAGGTTGATAACCTTAAAGTTGAACTTTTAATTAACATTGTCCTAGTAATTGGTATATTTCGTATGTGGCTGGCATCGGGTGTTCACAATGAGCTTTTCATTTTATTTGGGACTAGTCAGCTAAGTGAACCTTAATCTCAGTGTCGATGTTTACATTGAGACGCAGACGTAGTAATGTTCACTTCGAACAGTCAAAATATTATCTACTGCGGAGGTATATTCACCTAACAAGTTCTAAATAGAATGGAAGGTATCTTTTTTGTTCTGCATATCAAATATATTGAGATTTAAAAAATGACGACATATTGATGTAATCCATTTAGAATGCATATATGACAGCAGAGACCGATCGATTACAGTCTTGAATATCAACAAACGGAGGTTTCGAACTCTCACTAATAGTTGTTTTGATAAGCTTATTGTATTTGTAGTATTTTCGGCTGTAAGGTTCTTGACTTTAATTTTTTGCAAAGTATAGAAGAAAGTTTGGATTAGGAGTATCGTTGGTGAATACCTAAATTGCCGAGGAGTCCCATACTAGAACAAAACGGTAGTCTAACGCTCCCAGGTTTTCAGTGGTGGTCTAACATAGGTCGGTTCACAATTTCAATGACGCTCAACAATCTCCGCAACTCTATACTGACGAATATCTATACGGTTAAACCAAAAAGAGATAAACGAAGAAAAGCAGAATCGTAGAGGTCATTTCTTTGTAGATTGATTTATGGATGGGAGTTCCGTTTATTTTTTTACGATTAATTACAGAGTTTAAACTTGAACATTTCTTTTCGACTAGTTATGCCTAATGTATTTACATATCTAATGATCACCTATCCATTTTCTCCATAAATACACTTGACATTTTTTAAAATCCCTGATCTAAACAAAACATAACCTTGTAGATAGGCAAAGATGGATGCTAGCTAGCATGTGAATCCAGGATGTGCGTTTCGTCATACTTGGGACTCGTCTGCTGGACGCATCAGGATCACAGTGTTGCTGTTTATTTCGGGTCCTAAAACCGGTGCTTTTCACTTCGAACACCCAAATTTTGTAGGTGTTTCTCTTAGAAATTGCATATCAAGTACAGGTCTGTGTCCAACTACTCAGGCAGAAGTAAAAGAGGGTTCATACCTGTGATCTGGTTCTTAAAATCAGAGTGTTGTAACTGTTAAGTCATAGTTCCATCAACACAGAGTAATAGGAAATACAATAATAAAGGAATTATTAATTTTTAGAATAATGTTTAATCAACTGTTTTACTTACATTCAACATATCAAAGTTTATCGGTTTTTGTATGTCAGACTCTTCACGATTAACTTGTTCATTATTGTTAAGCACAGCGTTAAAATGCACAGGATTAGTGTCGGTGTAATGTAGCTCTTCAAAGCTATTTAAAGTTGTTTTATTTGACTGAGTCTCTTTAACATTACTATTAATAGCTGTAATAGTTGTAGGTTTGTTAAGTACACTGAACATGTCTTTTAAATTGCTTGAGTAATGACTTTTGTAACAGAATGAACCAAACCAGACAGTTGTTTCTGTGGAATCTGGATTTTTATCTCTAGAGTTCGGAATCCAATTTACTAGGGATGGGAACATTAGAGCTACATATCTATTTTCAGCAAAAGGTAATAATATCAGATTAGAAAAAAACAACAGACAAAAACACTTAGTGATAATAATGTTATTATGAATGAGCAAATTAGATCTCTAGCAACTTGAACGGATAATAAATATTTGCCCGGTCCTAGGTTGCTTGCAGACTAATTGATTGGATGAATCGCACATAAGTGCATAAGACCAAATTGCAAAACTAAATTAGTACAACGACATGAATGTATTGTAGGAAATATTTGTATCTCAGGACGAAGATGTTGAAGGTGTCTCTGAGCTGAACCAGCTCATATATATATATATATGCAAGTTTGTACATGGTCGAACGAGTTGAGCTTGTGAATTAACTTGTGACTGACATAAAAATCGAGTTATTTTAAGCCTTAAGTCTGTGTGTAATTAATAAGTGGATCCATGATTAAGTATGGATAGTTGTATGTATTATATGCGCCATTTCGTTTGCGTACTTAAACGTTAATTGCTGAAATCATCTAGATACATATTTAGTTGAGTATGACTCATCAGCTTACATATTTGTTTGGATACACTCGCTTCTCTCTTACTGTTTGCTGGTTGCATATTTTGAGTTGTGCGCTAAAATAAAGTGTTCTGCCTCCAAGAAACTAGACAATGCTGAGAATCCTGGTAGTAACAGTCGTTGGGTTGATTGATATACAAAGTATGAGAATAATTGAAAAAACACATCCGTAACAGAAATCGGTGAGCTAAACTCAACAGACCCACAACTGTGGTTCTGAGACCCTTACAGGGGGATTGGAGAGGCTAATGGCACCCACGGACGAAGTATAACAAAAATGTAAAGAGTTGTTACTCAGAGGTATGATTGAAAGTAGTGAATAGTACACGAAAAAAACACATATATGAAAGAGGAAACATACACGTAGTAATGATAAGAACGACAAGTGATATGATGATATAAAATAAAACAGATTGACTAAAACAGAATCGATATGTTTATTGTGCGTATAATGCAGTAATTTTATGCAAGTGTTATGATTCTTAATACTGACAAATAATATCTAACAATATCTATGAATCAATATAATAATAATAGTAACAACCTAATAATAAGATATAATTTACAAACAGAATTGGTTCAGCGTGTGCGGACTTTTAGATTTCAATAGTATTGTAAAGAGTTGCGTTTGGTTTGGACGCTTAACAAACCAATTTCTATTGGGACTGTCTTTGCAATTATTACTATACTTTGTATATCAATCGGTCAGACGATCATTTCAATAACTGTAAAGTAATTACCAACTTACAATTGTCTTTTGAGTAAACACATATGCGAAGATGCATTTTATGTGTACTGGTAATCAAGAAAAATGGAACATAAATATTGCTTTTTTCCTACCATAGTGGTAATTTAAAATCTAAGAAACAAAAATTTGCAGAACATTGTTTACACTAAACATTTAGTGAAACGTTTTTAGAATGCACATAAACCAACCGAGCGGATGTTAACAGGCACAGGACACGTTCCAATCCAACTTCTTTGGGCTTTGGAACACTAGTTTCGTGCATATTTTTGTTGTTTGGAATTATTAATTCATCTAGTTTATCATTGGAGAAATCAAGAAGGAATGGATGTACAGGATTGTAATCTGTTGATGAACTACATAATGAACGTTGTGTTGGTATATGAAGTGGTTGAAAACCCTGTGAATATTAGCAAAAAGAAACATTAAGACTTCTTTGCCGAAAAAAAATCAGGAACTGAGCACAAGTTCTTGTATTCAAATTTAGATTATTATTTTTTGTCCAGGCCTAGCGACATTACCCAAATATTGACACACTAAAATAGGTACGTGAGGAATATACCTTAAACTTGTAAATTAGGAATTAATATATGGACATTTTGGACACTAAACCACTTCTACACAATTCAAATGACTTGATCAATAAATAGAAAAAGTATTTGTAACAATCCAAAAACAATAGATCTTTATTACTCGAGTGAAACCTTTCTACTTCTATACTTCTCAGCCGTGACGGCTCAGTCAGTCAGTAACAACGTAGAACTTGGTACGTACGTACATCAGTTTGAGTTGCCATACCACATTAGCTCAGAGATGCAGTTGTCAATTCAAATCCCGTAGTGATAGAGTATAAGCAGTAATCGGGAAGATTAGGGTTTGGAGATGTTGTTTAAAGAGTATAATCCAGTGAAATAAATTTGGAAAGAAGAATAAAGGGATATGAAGAATTTAGAAGATTAGAATTTGGGAGAACACAAAGAGTGGATGCACCTGCGCCATTGCAAACGATTTTGAGCCATGTCATTCAGGGTCTCTAACCATCGGTTTCTATCATCTCGCGGTCCCCAACCAGGTAGTCTACACCTACCAACATGACTCAGTCTACTTGTCAGTGACTTCATGGACTTGTGCCATGTTTTGGTCTGGCCACCCCTAGCTTTCTTCCAGCCTATTCCTATACCGCTGAACATCGCACGTCGAGGAAGTCGGTCGTTGGGCATACGTAACACGTGTCCCAGCCATCTCAACTGATGAAGTTTCACTACTTCATCAATCGATTTGCCATCCTTACCTAGTACCCGTGTCCTACTTACTCGATGGTCTCAGGATATACGAGCAATGTTTTGAAGACATCTATGATCAAATACTAATAACCTACGGATATCCTCTACTCTTACCGGCCACGTTTCACTGCCATAAAGTAGGACGGAACGCCTACCCTGACAAATATGTGAATCAGTTTCAGTTAGAACATCAAATAAAAAAAATCAGAGTATTAGAAGTAGTGATGGCAATAATGGTAACAAGGAAGACTAGGGACAGACAATATGATTTGAGAGAAAAATATATGTGAGATAAAACTCAGGATCTAATGAAAGACAAATGTGAGTTCATCTGCGAAGATTAATTTAATGACGCATATTCCAGTTTACATTAAATGTGAAGCATGAAATTGTTAACAAAATTTTAAAGATTAGTTATCAAATCAATTCCGAATTTCGGACCATTTCATTTAAGATGAATAATCACATAAGCTTATCAATCAGAATCCACTGAAGAAGTTTGCATCTCCTTACATGGGTTAGATAAATATTCAATGACTTCATGGACTGTAATAATGTGATTGATGCCAAAATATATGCTAAGGGATAAAACAATTTGTAAATATCTAATTTAAACTTAACAACATAAGGTGAACACTAAAAGAATAACTGTTAATCAAAACAATTGACTGACTAGTGACTTATTTTATATTTATCTAGCCTATTATACTGATCGAACGCTATCAATCAAGTTGTAGCGTGGTCACTAATTTAAGCGACTTAACATCTCATGCACAATGTTTTCATCTTAGGAGGTTGGAGGTAGTCTGGAAAGAATTACGTTTGATTTAGGTTTCATGCTAGTTGTCACTCGTCACCAACGCGTACCTGCAATCTTGTGGGGGCTGGTGCTCCGGCGTCGATTTTAAACATGGGTTACCCAGTTTCATAGTCTAAGTTGTCACCATTGAGCGATTCGGATTGCTACTAACCTGTAGGGATGAGATATTTACATTGATTGACCACTGAGCAAAGAACAATATCATGCATAGTCTAAGTGTATTAATAAATAATCAAAATTAAGTTACTTGTAATACGATCATTTCAGGCAGCTTCATCAAACGAATCCAATCTATGGGAGTGATGTTATGGACTTCACTCTCACGGTTGCTATCATCATCACAAGGATCGACATGTTTTTCAATGAGAAAAGAATTTTCACGTTCTCCTTCAACAATATCAGCATCGATTATTTTGCTATTAACATTATCACTTGTGTTTTCATTGTTATTGTTTACTTGTACAGGTATATCAGTAGGTTGTTTTTGCCCACCATTATGATTATCGACATCACGTAATAACGGCTCATAGTATTTAAGTAAATTGTTTAAAAAGTACACTGTATTTTCAGTGAATGTAGGAGTTAATAATTGAAATAATTTATCCGTCAGTTGATAAGATGATTTATTCCCTAAATAAAACATAGAAAGAGAAATGTTTGTGAGAATGAAATCTGATTTATTAGAAAAGAACACTTAAATTTTATCCGTTTTTCCTAATGATCAGGTGATTTTAAGAACTCCTTAACATGTAGTATGGTGATTAGTATGTGAAGGGATATTTGTTTTCAATGTCTACCTGGTATATGAGTTCTACATTATTTCTCTATAATGATCATTTGTAATTACAGTTTAATTATTACTGTTGAAAAGCGAACTGACTAGAATGTTTGTAATTCATAACGATTAAAGCGATAAATAGGATGATAAAGTTACTTAATGTTAGCAATAAGATCTTAAGTAACACTGAAACATTCATCAATCATAATACCTGATATAGTGCGCCAATGAAAAATCCTTTAATGACAAGCGCATGTGATTAATGAAAACATGGTTTTATTTCTCTTTCTCGCTTTATATATATGCTTGTGATTGTGAATGGGTTTAACCCAATAAACTAAATTCTCTACTCTTAGTCTTCACAATGAGTAGCAGGTTGGGGGCTTGAATTGCGTATAAGGAGTTTATGTATCTGTATCAGACTCGGACACCATACGTCATAGCAACACTAGTAAAGAAAAGTTTTTTTGGATACTTTAGGAAATTCTTGAAGACGGGTTTCTTGTAGAAAGAAATAAACAGATAAGTCTCTGTATTTTTTAAACGTGAGTTTAATATGGATGTACAGTTTTAATATACCCATGGGGTTCTGTAATAACGATATATTACAACGGATTCATTATAAATTAATCAATTCTTCAAAATATACAACAGCTTAGATTTATAACAAAAATATTGACACCGATATCTGTGCAAATACTTATAACAGGTACGAAGATTTCATCTTAAAATGATTATAATACTAACTATTTGATTTAATGATGGATATTTTGTCGCTACTCACTACTTAAACTAATACTATATAAGCGAATAAATTTTTTAAATGTGATTACCTGCATTAATCTCAGTGAAGCGATTTGACCGAAACCAGAGGAATAATAAATTCAATGCAATTAATAATTCCAGTTTACATGCTGCTATGTCAATTTTATTATTATCATTAGAAGTAGGATGAATGTTTGCAGTCGAAGAAACAAGTAAAGTGGAATTATCATCCTTATTGATCGAATTATTACTATTATCATTGTTGACATCGTCGTTGTTACTAACATTGGTGATTGTTTCATCATTTGGTATGGTACTTGAAATCTGTTTATTTAGTGATACTGTTTCTGATGTAATACCAACTATACTTGAAGTAATCCAATTAATTAAATAAATTGTTAAACATAAGAGTAGAGCGGTGCCCGTTTGATATTCATTCAGCATAAAAGATTTTCCATCTATTGTTTGAAATGATGATAGATTTGATTTCGTGTCCTAGAATTGAGAAATATATATAATAGTATTATTGTAGTGAACAAGAACTCAGTGGGGAAACGGATTTATTTTTTAATGAAAAATTACACAATGGCTTAGTAAAATATGAAAATCCTATATTAAATACATCATTTGCACATCTTCTTTGCGTTATCCTTGACATACCTCATTATTCCTCCAATTCTGTTGTTCTTTTGATTCCTCTCCTATTTGCTTTATGTTCTCTTCAATTCACTCTTCTGCTGCCAGAAATTCTAATTCAGATTGCGGCCACATACTGCTTATGTCTGTCAGTATAAGTAGCATACACCACATAATCATAGATGTGTTCGAGACATTACCCGGGTGAGTAATGTTGAGATTAGATGCAGAGTAATAAATAAGAAACGGTAAGTCAGTTTATGAGGTTTTGAGTCTTTGTTGAGTGAGGTCGTTGAGATATGTATCATCTATGCCCAACCACCTACATAGACGCACGATGTTTGGTGGTGTGGAAGTTGGTTGGAAGGAAGCTTAGAGAAATTAAATCAAGATGTGGAATTAGTTCATGAAGTCGTTGGACTGAGCCGTGTATGTAGATACGGACTGTTTAGTCAGAGTCCTTTCGATTATCGCAACTAATGGTTGGAAACACTAAATGACATTGTTCTGGGTCGGTAGAAATGTCTCAGATGAATTTCCTGTTCGTTTTAAGATGCTCATGCTTTTTACCCCGCCAACTCATAGTTTATTTTAGAACCAAATTACCTACTCCTAATCTTTACTAATACTACTTCTACTACTATGGTATTTGTGTTGATAAACTAATCTAGCTGTGTTGATGTGATGTAACGACTTAAACCAATACATACGTGTCTCAGCCTCTACACTGCTTATAATAACCAAATGTTATCAAAACAAACGCATACATTGAAAGTGCTATTGTAGTGAAGTAGAACGTAGGTGACGACAACCGATTATCTTTAGCACAAAGTTACAGTTACTTGATAAAATAGAAAAACCATACGCCAATACTTCACTTGCAAAATGTTCATTAATTGTCTCAAACTTTATTGTTCCTACATATCCATACCAATTACTTTCTGTTCCCATTCTTCTCTCCCCGATCTCACCATTCTCTTCCTGACTAGCGTTATATACTACTTACGTCGACATAAGTAGCACACACCACACTAGGATATAAATCGGATGAAATACAACGAAATAGAAATATAAAAAAATGAGTCAGCTGTAGAACTTCGGTTCCGAGGACCCTCATAGAGGTTTGGAACAATGGAAACAGAAAAGGGGAAGTATTGCAACCGATAAGTATTCTTGTAAGATAAATTTTGTGAAACGAAGTTTTTACTACCTCAGCTCGTATATACATTGGAGAGATTGCGTATATGAAATTCAGTTAACGGAGTCAACACATTATTACTATGAAAGCAGAGAACGAAATCACCGTAAAACAGATAAAATAAAACAACTTACTGATAAGTATTGGTCAGTTAAATAGAAATGAATACACAATATACGTATCAACTGATTTTTGTTCAATTCTACTCTATTCCAGTTGTTCATATTTTCGAAAAGATCATCAGCCATTTTTATCAGTTTGACAGGATCTAATATGGTGCGAGTAAAAGAAATAAATTCTGAAATAAAGCATTGCCTCCAATTGTGAGGTCATATGCATAGAAGATCATTGAGAATTAAAATGCTGAACAACAAAACTGCTTTCTTCGTCAAATGCAGATATAATGATAGATAAATTACATGATATATTTTTTTAAACAGCTACAAACAGTCTCAGTGATCACAAAATAATGAACAATAGCTGGAGTACTGACTCATAGACAGAATCAATTAAAAGTAGATTACTAGGCTGTAGTTTGAATTCTCTCACCCTTTTCCGTGTACTGCAAACAGGATGAGACCTGATGAGTTCGCACTTAAATATACCTCAAAAATCCCCCACAAACATATATTGAACTGATATCACCAATAAGCTAAACCATAATCAAATTATTAGTGACAATATGGTGTTTAATTTAGCCAGGTTTTTTCATACCACGAAAATAACCAGTTAGTGCGAAGCACTTTCAACTTTACACGACGTGAGGCCAACATCTCATTGCCTGTGAATAAATATTCAATAATTATGTAGTAAGAAAACGATTGAATTATTGTCTGTCCTATCCTAAAACACTTTTTGGAGTATCTGTCATTACACTTTGTAATTAGAGCGGCCAAACCAAAACGTGGCATCAGTGCTTGAAGTCACTAACTTCTAGTCTGAGCCATGTTGGTAGATGCAGACTACTTGGTTGGGGTCCGCGTGACTATCGTAACCAATGGTTGGAGACTCTTGGTGACATGGCTCAGAATCGATCACAATGGCGTCGGTGTATACACTCCCTGTCTTCCCTTAAACTAAGAGATTAAAATCACTTCATATCTTTCTTTCTACGAACCAATTTTTTCTTCTTGTACTATATCTCTATATGCAGTCTTTCTCTTATATATTACCATCTTTGACCTAATCACTGCTATGAATCCAATGTTCATCTTGTTGTGCTGATGCGGTATGGCAACCTGGACCGATGCACATATGTGCCTGGTCCTACGTTGTAGCTGACTGACTGACTTTGTAATTAAAAATAATTAATGTATCGAAAGGACGATGTAGGGACATACTGATGGTCAAAATATTTTAAACTGTTTTACACACCAGAAAGTCGATATTTCACGGGTGGCAAAACTTAATCAGTAGTTTAAATATCTGGTAGCATTAGCAGTGCAATTTGTGTGATTTATTACGTAATAAAAATAATAAGTTATACTATGTACCTGTATGCAAATGGAGTGCTGCATAAAACTGTATAAGTGTTCGTATTTGTTGATTGGTAAATTTTGGCCAGCGTTTTGCACTTAATATTACATCTTTCATTGAATCAGTATGTAGTTTCTCATGATTATTATTATCATTAAAACATATAGAAGATAAATCAAATGACTTATAATAGTCCAACAATACATTCGATAAATTATTCATAGAAGCAGGAAATGAATGTAGACATGCTAGTGCACGTATATAGTAATAAAATAAAGCATCCATACATCTTCTAGGTAAAGGCTAGAATTTTAAAAAATATATATATATACGGAAACAAGTTTATAAATAATATTAAGAAATACTGACAGTTTATGTCATTAAATTGTATTGTTATTCCTTAAACTTATATAACAGTTTGTAAGGTACCTTATTGTTTCATACAAACTAGAACAAACCAGCAATCATGATCGATTTAACAGATGCAGATGCATCCATTCGTTATATTAATTTAGATCTTGAGTTCCAGTATCTCTTTACATATACCTTTTGTTATATCCTAGTGAAGATTAAATTACGAGTAACTGCTGAAAACTATTTATGAACTAAAATTATACATATATTTTAATCGTATAACTTAGGAAACTAAACTATATATTTATATTCCTCTTATTATAAGCTTTTATTTGACCTATTGGTTACTGTTATATGATTTACTATTCTCAAGTTATTCTCAATCCATTAGTCACAGTTTCTCACAATCACTATTTGGCTTGATATTGTACAAATGTTACTTTTTCTTTTATGGTGTGATGTGGTCTGATTTTGCTTGTATATAAACCAAATTTGTTTGAAATATACGATTCCATATAACGGAGACTTATATTTGCGTTCTGGACTGAATCGACTGGGTTAGGCGAAAAGCTGCTATCTCAAGGGACCAATAAGGGGTCTAGGCTGTTCGTATTGGTTTATGCGTCATTGGTCCGGTCAATAAGTCGATGACTCTAATTGGCGATATCATCTCGTGATCTATTAACAAGGGCCACAGTGTTATAACACATTTCCACTTTATCCTTTCGAATAATATTCATAATGCTCAGTCTATCTCATTAATATTAGTGATGCAATACTTTCAGGATTTATCATGTTAATTTCATCTAGTGCTAATATTGTATGGGGACTTGAGCCAAAGCACATATGTACCAGGCTGTTTGTTGATCATGACTGATCGACTGACTAAAAGCCTCATTCTTGATGGTGTACTTATGATCTGTCATATTAATACTGGCCATTTTATTGTTTACATATATGACTTAGATAATGATAAACTTTGATTTGTTGTGGGATGACTATGAAGAACACTTCTTACAGATATGTTATTTGTTAAGATTTAATTGCTTGTTTGTCTACTAATCACCGTTCCTTGTTGGTTCTTTTGAACTATCCTAAATTCCTATTCTATATTTGGTATATTTCACAGTAAGATGTATCATAAAACTGAACATTTAGGGAAATTCCAATTACATCTGTATTTACAGTAGTACATCTTTGTAGATAATTTATTTTACTTTTACTTACAATTCTGGAGTTTTAGAAGGTCACTTATATTTTATCTTGGAATTATCCGATAAATCTGACTAAATATGCAAACCCTCATTTTAGTCGTGCCATCAACTTACATGTAACATTGTTTCTTAATAAATAGTGAGAAATAAGTTTTCCAAGTCTTAACTTTGATATATTCTGCAAAAACTCTTCGGATGATAGAAAACAAACGATTGAATGGTATGCCTATGTTCATATTCCGATTTCAAACTTAATATACAATTAACTCTTTAGTTGAAAGTCAATCACAAATAGATAGTTTTGGAACTCATTCTGAAGTTCAAATGAACAACCATGCCTAATGGGAACTAACTGTGTCAAGAGTAAGACTGTTCTTCCACACTACAGACATTGAATGATTGTTGGTCTACGCTGTGACTCGATTGAAGCAAACAATATACACCACTAGATTTCAATTCAGTGTTCCAGAAGTAGAACTTGGCAATCATACGTATGGACTGCTTAGGAGTCTGAAAATAAGACGAAATGTTCACCTAGTGCTCCAATGTTTTAAAACTGCGACGAAAATTAATTACAAATTAAATATTTATTTAACAGTTTGCAAATTCTACACAAATATGTAAAAGAAGATGATTAACTACCTTAGTTGCTTCTAAAATAGCTAACTGGTTGAAAGAATGACCAGAATCAGGGTGTACAACCCAAGACCAAAGGTAATAACCAGCGGCAACATTTGGCTGTTGACGGTACCTGAAAAAGTATACATCTTGAGAGATTAGATTACAAAAAGAAAATATAGCGCCAGAAAGATCTGTTTCACGCAAATTAATAACTCCCAAACCCGTACAATTGTAAACATATACTTTTTTCGTAATGTTGATATGTTTGTTGATGATAATAATTAGTGAACATGGAACTAGGAGCAATCTAGGAATAATAACAGTAGTGGTTAAATATTCATCAAGAATTTCATAGAATTTACATAAATATGAATAACCATGAAAGTGGGTTGTGAATAAGATGAACCCTAGGATTGAAGTGAAATGAACTCGAAAATATATGAGAAAAGAAGCAAACTAATTATGACTAAAAAGCGTCAAGATAACAGGAAAGGTAGATGAAGAGATTGCTTTGAAAAACTGAAGGTGAAGACTATGACAGAAGAATCAGCTGAATTAATTTGCTTTGAACTCATAAATCTGGCTTTTCCAAATGGACAGGGGGAAGCTTCAACAATTCGGAAAAGACGAAAACTCACTGCCGTTGGTAACCTTACATCTACCTTGTATATGGCTTTGAATAACGTGTTTCTGATCGAATGAGCCGTGTTTATGAGGTATACGATTAATGAGCTTCCTACGAATGCACTTCAGCCTCTTTTCAAACGTAATAGGTAATGTTAATGAACAACTTTAGAAAGAATGGACATCGAAATACCAATGTACCTAGCTCCCCAATATATTTTCCAGATGTGACAGCTTATCGGTTGGGTTAATAGTGAACATAGACCGGGTAAAAATAAACTAACATCAGATTTGATGCAAGAAATTTATTTCGAGGGTGTTTGAAGATGCATTTCTGTGAATCCTCTAAGGGTCACCTTTGAATTCGTGGATTTTAAAATTCCAGCTTGAATGTGAATTTCTTAGAATAAGCTAATCGTTATTTATTGTAAAACCATTCTTTATTTGCATACAATTATACATAAATATTCTGGGAATTTGGGACAGTCTTCTGACTGTAATCGACCTCGGGTGGGTTATCCCGGTGAATATAACACTCATCACTATATATATTATAAGCTAAACAAGAACTAGTTCAAAACAAGTCACTAGATGTAGTAGCTAGGAATTCCTGTTCTAAACACCAGCTATCGGGAATAGACCTAAGAAAAAAGAATACAGGATAAGTTTGGTACTTACTGCTGCCGGTCATGATTGCAAGGGACATTAAATTTGTATGAATATGATTATCGGATATGACGTTTTAGATGGGCTACTGGGGATGTGGACTTAATGAACATTAATTTAAAAATGTGATGCTCAGTTTAAAAACTGTGAAAATGACAGCATTCGAATAGTAAACGGAATATACCCATTAAGACATAAAATAAGAAAAATCGGTTTAGCGAAGGGTTCTCTTTTCCACTAACTTAAAAGCCACACAATCGGAAATATATAATTATTTCTCAAAAAGATAATAATTATAATAATAGTAGTTTTAATACAATTTCGCCAGACACATTAACAGTGATGTGATAGAAATAAGGACAAAAATGTTATTTTTATTAAGGGAATTAATAATAATAAGAAGCAGTGACCATTCAGATTAAAATACCGAAGCTATATGTATCTTCAACTGCCTCTATTACAGTAGCCAACCTCAATGCCAATCACTCAATAGTAATCTTAACTATTGGATGACCTACTTTGACTTACAATCATTATTAGTCAAATATAATTCTCTTTTTTTATCTTTATGAACATATCTTTGTATTATTACTATTATTAATATTATTATTGGTTTAACATCGCTATTAATCTCCTGAATATACGATTCATCTAATTAACATTTACCGCACATTATTTTTTAATAATTTCATATAAATTTTTACACAATAGTCTTCCACTAAACATTTGATCTGATTTGAAATTGAACTAATATCCCTCTTAACCTATCTGATCCATATTTATTCTGATCATAAATCTCATAATTCCATTTAACGTATAAGCCTATTCAAGTTAACATTATAAATTCATTATTTCAACATTAACAGTTTTATTGTATTCAACAATCTTAAATTCACATTCTATAATTCCAAACACTGTACTTTACCTTAAATCTGACCACTTTTTAGATCATTAATTTAGATATATAATTTTAAAACTCGAAGAGAATTTATTGAAAAGAATATTCTTCGTTCATATATCTGTGTTTTAAATTGATGGGGATTTTTAAACAACAATAATATTGTTTAATTCATTTTTGTATTGGTTATTTGATACTTCTTATTGATGTTAAGGACTACAATTGATCAGTTTTTGCTTATAGTAATAGTGCTATTGAGAGCTTAAATATTCATCATGAAGATAAATAAATAAATTATAACTGGAAAGGGAAGATTTAGTGTGATGATGAGATAAATTGTTGAAACTGAAATGAATACTCAAGCCTATTTTATCTTATCACATTGAACCGTCCTTTTCTAACGATAATTTCTCTATGTTCATAATGAATATTATTATTTATTTATTTTAACACATAGATATTGGTACAAAAAGGCACCAAATACATATGCGCCACACAGATCTCATTTGATATGTGTGAGGGCTGTAATACTGCCCGGGTGCCCAAACCGAAGCAGGATAATGAATATTCAAGCTTTTAAAAACAATATTATTATTGGCAAAGATGGATAGTGGCTAGCAGTGGAATCCAGGACGCGCGTTTCGTCCTGTTTGGGACTTGTCAGCTGGATGTACCTGCATCTCAGAGTTGATGTTCACTCTGGGACTCGAACTCAGTACCGTTCGCTTCAAACGCCATCGCGTTATCCACTTATGCACGTATGCACATATGCCAATAAGAGACTGATCAATTTCAGTCCAAAAACAGCAATGGGAAGATTCAAATAAAACAATATCAAGTGAATTAAACTTCAACCCATTGCACAAGCAAGTGGCTATCAGGACTCAGTAGCTAAGTGGATAACGCGATGGCGTTTGAAGCGAACGGTACTGAGTTCGAGTCCCAGAGTGAACATCAACTCTGAGATGCAGGTACATCCAGCTGACGAGTCCCAAACAGGACGAAACGCGCGTCCTGGATTCCACTGCTAGCCACTATCCATCTTTGCTTATAATGCTTGTAAATTAAGGCAATATCGAGGCATACGCACAGTATGCACATATGCCAATAAGAGACTGATCAATTTCAGTCCAAAACATCAATGGGAAGATTCAAATAAAACAATATCAAGTGAATATTATTATTGGTTTTCTTAATAAAAATAACATTTTTATGCTTCTATTGATTTTACCTTATTGTAATCGAGTTTAACTAAATTTTATCATAACTGTCATTGTAATTATTATCATTATGATTATATCTTCACCCTCCGCAAAATGTCAGAACACCGCCATACTTATCAAAGGCCAACAATCGTAGTGTTTCTTGACATCAGGGCTGCCTTCGATTCGTTGGATAGGACTGTTCTCTGGGATTGTCTATTGAAGAAGGGTGTGCCTGAGAAGTTTATTAACATCCTAAAAGCCCTATATACAAACACCTCAGGCAGAGTGAGGGCATACAACCACCTCTCTCCATTGTTCCATTCGAGCAGTGGGGTTAGGCAGGGTTGCCTAATCTCACCATTCCTCTTTAACTTTGCCATTGATGTCATTCTGGAAACAGCTCTGATGCATGTAAGTAATGGTGGTGTGGATCTGTTGCCTGGAGAAAGACTTCTCGACCTTGAGTATGCGGATGATATTGTCTTAATGTGCGATAATGCCCAAGGCATGCAATTCGCACTTAATCAGTTGGCAATCAGTGTCCGTGAGTATGGTATGTGCTTTGCACCTTCGAAGTGCAAAGTACTTCTACAAGACTGGCAGGATTCTAATCCTGTTCTCACACTGGATGGTGAGCAGATAGAAGTAGTCGAGAAGTTCGTGTATCTGGGTAGTTGCATAAGTGCTGGTGGGGGTGTGAGTGATGAGATCAATGCACGTATAGTGAGAGCCAGAGCGGCTTATGCCAATCTGGGCCACCTTTGGCGCCCTCGTGATGTTAGTCTGGCTGTAAAAGGTCGGATCTACAACGCGTCGGTGAGAGCAGTCTTGCTCTATGCTTGTGAAACCTGGACTCTCCGAGTTGAGGACGTTAGAAGACTCTCTGTGTTCGATCATCGCTGTTTCCGAAGGATTGCTGACATCCAGTGGCAACACTATGTCAGTAATGCAGAGGTTCGGCATCGTGTGTTCGGGCACAGAGATGATAATGCGATCGATGTCACCATCTTGAAACACCGACTTCGGTGGCTTGGACATGTTCTCCGAATATCGTCCCAGAGAATTCCACGTCGTGCATTATTTGTCGACTCTGGGACTGGTTGGAAGAAGCGGAGAGGTGGTCAGTGCATGACATGGTGTCGTGGTATGAAAGAAAGCTGCAAAGGACTGGCTTCTGTCGGTCCTTCATGACTCCCTGGTTGGGCTCAGAGAGATGGTGCTACACAGTGGCTAGAGACGTAATCAGATATGGCTCAGAATAGAAGCCAGTGGCGATGCTGCTGTAACCTTCTTTTACTTTCTTCATAAAAAGTGGTTGTGTCTCCCTTAACTGAAAGATTTTTTCTGATTGTACCTTTCCGTTCCCTCACTGTTACTATTATTATTACTAAACTACCTTACACCAACCTCTTCGTTATTGTTCTCTTTTTTTCACGCTCCTTACCTTTTTTTCCTTCTCTTCGAATTCTCATTGTTTTGTGTGGCGTATATATATTGGCGCTCTCTTGTACCAATATTTATGTGTTCAAATAAAATAAAATAGAATCAGAACTCTTTCTTATTTTAACATTCGAATAAACTCAATTTTTAGCAAATTACTGTTTAATGTTTGTACAAAAACATTATTTTTCAATGAAGGGATTAAACTCTACTAGGTAAAACAAACAAGTATGTAATCAAGTTTGATTAAATTATCAAACTCAAAACTGTCAGTATAAATACTAACAACGACATCCGAAGGACTTGTATAAATCAGGGGAAGATAGAGTGGGATAATTGAAAAAGACAAATTGAATGAACTCATAGGGAAAACTGTTAAGGATATAAAGCTGAATACCAGTGATTTTATGAGTAATATTGTTGAATATTTATTTTATTGTGTTTTTGATTCACACACAACAGGTTGTGCATATTGTCACGAAGTAGAAAAGTGACTAACAAATCATAAAAGCACTACGTCAAATGTAATCAAGTTGTTGGACCTATCTAGTTAATGTTATGCATATAAATAGAAAGAATAATGAGCATTTCATTTACCAAACTTTTGTTAACTAATCCTAAGATTAAAGTAAACATTGAGAAAGCTTTTCAAACCACTTCTTCATACTACAAATGTAGGCAAAATGCGAATAATCTCCGTCAACTACGTTTAAAATAGATTCACTATGTGAAAAGTTTACAAACTGTTTAGTCGCTTAAATGAAGTTAAGATAGTTGTTAGATATATGGTTACTGAAAAAGCACAATTAGAAAGCATGACATATAGACTAACCGTGCAATATCTCCAAGATGAACTAAACAGTGATGTACTAGGTAAATAACAGCTGCTTCTTGATTCAAACAGTGAATATTAGAATTTTGGTTAGTAATCACATTAATTTTTTCTTTTTCGTTTTCTATTTCGTCGGGGTATTTTATATCTTGGCCGCTGATTTTACTGTTTTCTACACTTGAGGAAACTGTCATAATCTCTGACGGAAGTCGATCACCTCTAGATAGTATACGTGGTACAATAACATTTGTGTCTGATTCTTGTGTGATTGATAAAAATTTGTTTGATTCAGTATCTTTCATTCTTTTACTGCATGTTTTGTTGGCAGAAAAAGTTGCCAGATCTAGATCAAGGTAGTCGGAAATATGTTTCCCCTTCTTATTATTTTCTGAGTCTAACATGCCGTCGACGCTCGCAAGGATACCCAGTATCTGTGTCGACAGAAAACAGAACAAAAAGAGGAAACACATAGCAGTGATGGGTTGACAAGATGGTACCGTATGACGAACGAAATGAGCATAATAACAATTAATATTAGTGATAACTCCGCCCGGGAATCCTGCCGGTCCCAAGCCCGCATGAAGGAGGATGATTAGGCATGGGGTTAGCGATCCCATAACATAGGAAACTAACTCGCTAAAAAAACATTAACCAAAAGAAAATAGTTGAAACCGATATGGATAATAGGCGTTTTGGGAAAATTAAACCATATTTAAATTAATCTGCTGTGTCATCGAATAAAAAAGTAAATAGGATCCAGCGAAAAAATTTCCTTGCCTAAAAGTTCACTTATAAAATCAGTACACTCGTAATTATAGTTATTTGACAAAGCATACTTACTTTAAATGTGCTGTTATTAGGGACAGAAATTAATTACATGAACGATAGGTGTATGAGTTTTAAAAAAAGATGACAAGATCCGGAATAAATTTAACACTATTCATAACTCCGCTTGCAGCCCTTCTAGGGCTACCGACAGTCCTAAGCCCGGATAAGGTAGGAAAGTTGGGCATGTGATCAGCAAACTCATCCCGTAGTAAGAAATCTTGTTAAAGAAGCGCTAACCAGAAGAAAATGTAAACCATTTAAACTTTGTCCTTGGAGTTGAACAATCTTCATTTTGAAGAATGGTGACGCCTTATAGTGAAACTCGAGATTCTTCGGAAATTACGGGGTCGATATTTCTTCTGACAATCAGAGAAACAAGTAACATAGACATAAGAATGTTCGGACAGTGTAGGAGATTGAGGGGACCAGTTAAATAGCTGCGGAAATGGGGAGATACAACTTGACAGTGCTAATTATAAACGAAACCCATTGGACACAAGCTGGACAGAAAAGATTACATTTGAGAGAGAGGCTGTTTTACCCTGATCGTGAAAAAGAAGCTTCGCGCACCGATGATACTCAAAGCACCTAGAGAATGGGAATATCATGAACCCAGGATCATCAAAACATCTTTCAAAACAAAAAAGGGAATCACAATGAATGTTATCCAATGTTATGCACCCACCAATGACAGCAACGAAGATGATAAAGATCAGTATTATGAGAGGTTGCAGTCATCATAGAGAAGTGCTAAGGAAAGCAATTGACCATCATGATGAAAGAACTAACCGGCCGTTGGAACGGACAACAAACGGTATGAAGATATCATGGGATGATATGGACTGACTAGGAGAAAGGAACGAGAATGGTGAGAGATTTGCAAATCTATGTGCATTCTTGAAATAGTTATAGGCGGCACAATATTCCCACACAAACGCATACACCAAACTATATGGGTCTCACCGGATCATAATACACAGAACCAGATAAATCATATTTGTATCAATAAATAATTCAGGAGGTCAATGGAAGACTTGAGAACCAGGAAAGGAGCTGACGTTGCTTCAGAACACCACTAGCTGGTGATTGCCAAGGTGAAATCGAAGCTGAAAAAAATACTGGACATCTGGGGAGACGGCAGTACAAAGGTTCAACAAAGCCTTTCTTCGACATGTTGACAGACTCAACCAATTCAAGATAGCTCTCAACAACAGGTCCCAGCACTACAAAATCTCACAAAGGAAGAAACTATGATGGAAGACAAGTAGAAAATAATCAAAGAAGCACTACCTTCAGCGTATCGGGAGGTGCTGGACCACAACAAGCATCATCGTAAGGAAGGAATTTCAATAGAAACACAGGACAAGATTCAAGAAAGCAAGAACAAGAAGACAGCAATTAACAGCAGTCAAAAAGGGACACAGAAAGAGATAGTCAGGTCACAAGCTGAATACACAGAAACAAACAGACAAGTAAAGAAGAGCGTTAGAGCTGAGAAGCAGAAGTACGTGGAAGAGCTAGAAGCGACAGCAGCAAAAGCTGCAGCAGAAGGAAATGTGAGAGAACTATATGACACAACGAGGATACTGGAAAGGAAATATGGTAAGAGTGTGAAAGCAGTAAAACCTAACAATATAACAGCCGAAACACTGAAGTCACACATAGAAACAACTGCAAACGTGCTTCACATGCTATTCAGACCAAATCGCCATACTACGGATCGTTGTTGAGCAATTTGTGGTTAGACGAAGAAAAGAAGTTGGTAATGAGCTTTCTGCTAACATATCTAGTTGGTACGGTACATGTAGTCCTCGTGAACAAAATGTTAAAATTTTCGATTAAATAACACCAAATCTGGATTTCTGTTAGTCCTCAAATAAATGATTTACAACATAAATCACAAAGGTATAAAGTACGATACACTGCACAGTATCAAATGCCCTGGTACGGCTGAGAGTGGGGAGTCCGCTCTCTCCCCAAATGCTCTCACGTGGCCACGCATATACAGCCTCTGCCAGAGAAGTCCTACTCACTGCCTTCTCGTGGCAATATTGTTGTTTACGAAATTGAGAGGACGAAAGACGAATATCCGGCGCTTTAACCGGGTTGGTGGACATGGAGAAACCTCCTAGGGGAGTTGGAAAAGCCTGATTCCAAACGAATGGTGTATATAGGCTCCAGTATTCTGAAGGAACAAATGGCGTATGAACCAATCGTTGGTCACCGTCTTCCATGGGACTGCATCTACTTATGATGCTCCACTGCCTTGTGGATCAGACCTGTAAGTTGAAGGCTCCGGGCGTGGCCCCCTAAGAAAACCACCTGTTTCGGTTTGGGCACCCAGGCAGTATCACAGCCCTCACACAAATCAAATGAGATTTGTGTGGCACATATGTATTTGGTGCCTCCTTGTACCAATATCTATGTGTTCAAATAATTACTTTTTTATTTTTATTTATTTTAATACGTCACAATCTCGTTCGACGAGTAGCAAGAATTTTCACTAGGACATCAAAGGGAAACTCAAATCTATGTTGTGACATTAAATTTTTTGGTTCTACCGCCTTCAAACGGCATGGCTGCTACGACAGAACTCCAAAGAGATCTTGTTCTTTAGTGTCGTTAAAATGGGTCGCTGCGATAACCAAAACCTGCCAATATGTCACGATAACTGCTCTTGGTCGGTTACGTTTCAATTACTGACAATAAATAGAGATAAAACGTGGATTTACGAATAGTCGAAATCGGCAAGTAACTATCCAGCACCCCTGATCTTCATAAAAATTAGTGACAACCTTTTAGTTATAAGTGATACAATATCCAGGACATTCTTACCACTTTAGGCCATGGAAGTTCAGAAATTGGTTGAAGTAATTGGTAGATAAGATTGAAATAGATGCCTGAAGCACGATCTAACAATAAAACCAATCGAAGTTTGAGCTCCATAGTAGAACATTTAAGAGATCCACTGTTTCCGGTACCGGATAAACGTTGGTTTAACTAGAAAAGAAAATTTCGGACGATTCATTTCAAGATAAAATAGATACTAGAATCAATCAGCTAACGACTTAAGTGCTCAGGTATTATATTAATGGAAAATAATAAATAGACAAAGTTAGGGAAATACTGGCAGAACCTTGAAATCCCAGTCGAGAGAATGAAATGGACAGGATGTATTACGTACGCTTGAATACTCCTGAGTTGATGCAGAATGTTGGCTAACATGACAGTTGGTTGGAAAATAACCAGAAATAGGTAAATCAAGGTACGGTACAGTTCTATGAGGATCAATAATTTGGTCCTTAAGGTGTAACACTAACGAAATACTTTTAATCAGCCCCCAAATGCCCTGGTACGGCCGAGAGTGGGGAGAGTCCGCTCTCCCTCTCGAAATGCTCTCACATGGCCACGCGTATATAGCCTCTGCCAGGGAAGTCCTACTCACTGCCTTCTCGTGGCGGGGGTAATGTTTGCAAAAATGAGAGGACGAAAAGCGAATGTCCGGCGCTTTAACCGGATTCCAAACCAATGGTGCACATGGGCTCCAGTATCCTAAGGGAACAAATGGCATATGAACCAATTGTTGGTCACCGTCTTCCATGGGACTGCATCTCCTTACGATGCTCCACTGCCTTGAGGATCAGACCTTCAGGTGGAAGGCTCGGGGAGTGCCCCCTAAGAAAACCACCTGCTTCGGTTTGGGCACCCGGGCAGTATCACAGCCCTCACGCATATCGAATGAGATTTGTGTGGTGCATATGTATTTGGTGCCTCCTTGTACCAATATCTATGTGTTAAAATAAATAATAAATCAGTGTTTGAAGACTATGGGTGATATAGTTTAAAATAAATCCCGACGGCGTAGTTGCATACTTTCTGTCATTGTTCAGCCTTACTTATTCATCAGGAACTGTATTTAACGTGCCTTCATATGCACAGATGTTTAAATCAACTCTCATTCTATCCTCCTAATAGCGTCAACTTCTACTGTGTCGTAAAGTATGATACATATCTGTGCAACCTTTTATGGATGCTATCTATGCGTCACTTGTGGGAAACTCAAAGCGGACTGTCACGTACACTAAGAACTGTCGACGCATAACTGTCAGTGAATTCCTTAAGACAATATCTACGATACTAAGATATTCGGCCAGACTCTAATTTAGGGACGAGCCAATCAGAAGCGTTTGAGCAATTTCAATTATTAGTCAATCAGAAGACAGAATAAAGTAAAATATATTAAAAGAAAGTAATAAATTACAGTGGATATTCTTCTTTAACATGATTTAAAAACTCGTATGTTAGCATCCTAACCCTCACCTAACCCTAAACCTTAACCCTCAACTAACCCTTAACCTTAACCCTAACCTTAATCCTAAACCCTCACCTAACCCCAACCCTAACTAACCTTAAACCTAAACCCTCACCTAACGCCAACCCTAAACCCTAACCTTAACTCTAAACCCTCAACTAACCCTAAACTCTAACCTTAACCCTAAACCCTCAACTAACCCTAAACTCTAACCTTAACCCTAAACCCTCACCTAACCCTAACCCTAACCTTACACGTAAACCTAACTCTAACCCAATAGACGAGTTTCTATTCCATATGCATTGTGAATTCAGAACCTCTGAACCTTAATCAAACCTTAACAAGTTTTAAATAATGTAAAAGAAGAATATCCATTGTAATTCATTACTTTCATATAATATATTTTCACTTTATACTAACTTTCTTCTGATTGGGTAATAATTGTCAAGGTCACTTAAGATTCGTTCAAAGGTCGTCCTTAAATTAGTCTCGGCAGATATTCTGCAGTACCCGGAGCCTGATGATCTACAACCCAAACAAACAAGAATGGGGAGATAAAAGGGAACTTAGCATAAGTATAGGCAACATAGCTTAAGAAAATTTGAAGTCAATACAGATGACATTGCAACTAAAAGTTACTTTCCTGACCAAAAATGAAATAAGCAAGTTTATTTGAATATTTAAGTCATCTACATGCACCTGGTCAATTTAAATGCCTATTTACACAAAATGATGGAAGATATTTGAAAGCTTACCAACGACTGTAATGAGTTAATTTGAGTTTTATACAGAACATTCCACATTTCTAGCTCTATTTTATGTTCAACGGTGAAGAGAGGGAAACGTGTGATTAACTGAACAAAGCTACTCTGGATTACTACAAAATACTCATCCTGTGTTGCAGCAGAACAGGTATCTGGTGGCTTTTTATCTATATAGGCTTTAAGGTCACACCACATTCGGTGAGGGTCAGGTTCGTTAGTCATGATTGTGAGCTTATTGTAACGCAACCACACAAATATTGCACCACGTAGTTCATGTCCAATAGACAATAGCATTTGGAATGTAACGAGTAGCTGAAATATTGTTAGTGTGAAAAATAGGTAGATGGATTTATTCGAAAGCGCTAGTATCTGCTATGAGTTACTTTTGTTTTTGATGAGTCTGTAATGAAGGTGCGTACGGGAGATTATGTGTGGTGTTTTGCTGAAAACGTAGACCGCTCGAGGATGGACTTCGATTAAAAACCCTGAGGCACTTAACGGACACTTTGTTCTAGTATGCAACCAGTTAGCAGTGTGCATCCATGTTCCCTCTCGCGAACTTTGGACTCAGGAGCTTCGGTGCTTACCAGTGACTAACTTCATGGGGAAATATCCAGAGTTCTGGTCATTATCTGTGACCCATGTCGAGTGTGGGGCAGCTATCTACCAAGAGCGATGGAAAACAGTCGCACAGTGTCGCGAATCGGTTGACGTTTGGTACACACACCTATGGGTGCCGGCTTGGTAGTCTGGAGATTAAACGTTCAGATGAAGGATGAGAAACATGAGGCCATACTATCAGATGATCTAATCTTCTTTTAAAAACGTCGACCGATGGAGCTTTAATTACGTTCTAAGGTAATCAATCCCATTCGTTGGTGGTTTGATATGAAAATCAAAAGTTAGCTGACAAGTAATTTATACTGGGCTTGTGAACGTTTCTAGAGTGTTCTCGTAAATTCTGTGTTTTGTAAAACAAGAAAAGTATGGGCATATCATATGCAACTTTATCCCTAAGTAATATAAAAACTATGATCAAGTCGCCTATTGTTTTTCCAAATGACAAGGGAAATAGACCTGGTCTAGCCAGTCGAGCATCATACGGGAGCTTTGCGATTCTGGTAATCAGCTTTTCCAATAGCTCACTGTTTCTCGTTAGGCAGTAGCTAGCTGCTTGCATGCAATACCAGAGTTTAGGGCGAATGGATACTGCATACAAAGTCGAAAAAGTTTTAGCATCGACATAGCTAAAAGCTTTACGTATTGACCACAAGGTTCTAAAACCTTTTGGGGTTATCGCACGACAGTGAGTAGTAGTCTTGAAGTCTTGGCTAATGATGACTCCTAAGCCTGGACAACAAGAGGCTCAATGATATTTATCATGTATCTCTGTGTACCTTGATGACCAATATGCATCACAACACATTTGGAAGTATTTATCGGGAGCTGCCAAAGTTTGAAAACATTCAGGTAATTTCTGTGGGGCAGTTCCAGGCTATCACCTTTACTTTTTATCAATTTCCATAACTAGACATCGCCAGGATATAACAAGACCGACGACTATAGTAGACAAGGAGGGTCATTTTTATACAGGAAAAACAACAGGCCCTAAAAGTGTACCCTGAGGCACTCCGCTGAGTTTTGTCTCTCAGCTAGACAACTTTGAGTTAACCGATTTTCCTCGTTGACGCCTAGTTGAGAGTCCTTAATCTACATAAATAGGTTACTTCTTATCTCGACATTACTTAACTTATATAACAGTCCGTTGTGAGGAATTTCGTCAGTTTGTCAGTGTATGTCACACCCATAGATAACTTCTGATCCTTAGGAGCGCATCAACTTTCACAGGCTACTAGCAGGTTTGTGAAACATGAGTAGCCCGTTTAAGGTCATGCTCCTCTTTAAAAAGAATCTGGTTTTCGTCGAGATACATAAACAACTCTTTCTCAATAATCTTTTCTAAAATTTTAACAACCAGGCTGTTGAGGTTTACGGACTGATAGCTCGCAGGTTTGTGTCTTGTGCCTGTTATAAGGATAGGACTGAGCATGGTGTTCCTACAGTCTTCAGTTAATTGACCTCAAACTAAAGAGGAAGTGAAACACATGCTTAAATGATTTGTGACAGGATTTTTCCCTTCCTTTAGTAATCTCGATAAATTCCATCCATAGATTTACTTTTATTTAGTTAGTCAACAGATCAGAGACATACCATTTTTTAATAGGCACAGTGTCCAGTGTGTGAAAGGATTTGTATGAATGGAAGTGAAAGACATCTCTACGGTATATATATTGCTAAAGTAACTTAAGAATACTTAAGAATATTTTGTGTATTCTGATTCTTATAGAAGATGAACTTTTACATTCATATTCTAATATATTCGGAGTTCACTCATCAGGAAGTTTGTCTTTCTTTTGAAGATTCGTTGTTCTATTGGAAAATGTCAAGTGCAACGACCGAACTGCCAGTATTCGGTTTGAACGCAGGACTGACGAACCAAAATTTATTCGAATAGGTCAGACTAAGTTCTTTTGTGTAGCGTACTAAGCGTTTTCGAGATACTCGTATTAAATTACATCAAAACACAAACTCCCTGCTCAATTTAAACTGTTGTAATTTAGGAAATAGAACAAATTATATAAAAAATACAAAATACCTCGAACGGTGCAGCCTGTATTGTTTCCTTTAATGCAAAGTAGCGCGAAACAATAAAAGAAACAGTTATCACCAAAGTATTCGATACCTGAGGACCAATAAAAATGTTCCCAACAAGTTGGGATCAAATATCTATCTGCAGGGATTAGTATTCTTATTCACAAACATCTTATGGGTACATAATTGTTGTGAACGAACCATTTCAGGCTTCTTCGAAAATGCAACGATACACAAGTTTCAATGATGTTAGCATTATATTTCCCATACTTGAAAAAATGAGTAATAATAATAGAACGATAATAATAAATCAGTTTCTGTGTAATTCAGAATATTGAGCTGAGTTTAAAGAAGGAAAGGAAAAAAATAATTGAATAGAAATAAAGGGAACGTGAAATACGCAAATAGTTCAATAGGCGTGTTTATAAACACAGAACAAGAATAAACGACTATGTATGTATCAAAAACAAAATGGAAAATAATTAAGAAAAGATAAGTTATTATTGCCGTAAGATATGACGCTGGAATAAATGTTTGTGCGGTCATAGTTTGGAGTGGTGCTATGAAAGTCTAAATTAAGTAAAAAGGATGATGAAATATCAGTATTTATGAGTCATATATGCATAATGAAGATAAAACGAGTCTGAGAAGTTAATTTAAACGTAACACAAGTTATTGTCTTAATTACAAATTTTGTAATCTTAAGAATAATATTTATTTAGAAGGAAAAAGAGAGAGAAAAGAAGTGGACACCTAGTGAAAAGGTTCAACCATGAAAATAACAATTGTGTAATAAATGTCGACCTCTAGAGCAAACCAACAATTTAGAAAAATAATATAAATCCTTTAGTATGTGGTGGACCAGAGGTTAAATACATTTAGATTTATGTAATAATATACAGAGTGAAACCAGTTATTAGTATAAACATTTGTGCAATAATAATTGAGAATGATGCTTCGAAAGTCACAATTGATTTCAGAGGACAGTCAGAAATTAAATATGTTTAGAATGATAAGAAGAGATAAAAAGAATATCTAATGTGTCGAGGGACCAATAATGATACTAATAACGGTAATAATGATAAATACGAACATAAGCAGACTTCATATATTAAGATGAATAGAAATAAAATAAAATAGACGTGAAAAGTTTCAAAGGTTACATTTTGCTTCTCAGTCAATCAGATGGATGACGGACCTTGCTCGTATAAATCATTATTAAAAACATTGATATTCAGTAGGTGACACGATCCACTTTCGGTAAGAAAATCATCAAGGAGACCTCTGAACCGGGTTGTTGTTTCACTGCAACGGAGGTTCACTCTCAGTCTGCTCCACATGGTTGAGTAGCGAATAAGGAAAAAATTCTGGCGCAAGTTCGTGTGGGTTCTTGGAATCGCTAGCATATTCTCTTTGTTGCGTAGGTTGTGGGATGATATCATAGAGTATGAAGGGGTGGATACCGAAGATTAGAAAATACCTTTAATGAGCCGGTAGATAAATACAAGATTTAATTTGATACGTCTGATCCAACGAGGTTCTAATTTGAGTTGTTGACATCTTTGGTGATATTTTTTGTTATCGGAATACCCCAGAACAGCTTTAATGAACATTCTTTGAACACCTTCAATTTTAATCATGTCATTATGTCTGCAATTACTGTAAACTAAAATACCATATTCAAGAATGGGTAAGATACATTTTCTGCATAATAATAATAATCTCGATTCGATATTATTGAGATTTATCATTATGAATCCGATGAGCTTTTTAGTTTGGGATACTGGATATGCAATGTGCTTAGAAAAGTTCGAACAGTCACGAACAGTGTTGAGAGGTTTGAGTATATGTTTGTTTATAGTTTGATTTAAGTTAAGGCAGCAGCCAATGTGAGTAAATCCACTTCTGTCAACATTAAGTGGCGAATTCCACGAAACAGTCCATTCGTATAACTTGTTTATTTCTTCTTAGATTACCGCTGAAATATAGCTTTCTTTCGTGGGAGAAGAAAATGAATAAACTACTTTCAGGTCATCAGCAAAAAGAAAAGGTTCACCATACTGAAAGAGGGAACATACGTCATTGATAAAAAGGAGAAAGAGTAATGGACCAATCACACTTCCCTGTATAACCCCACTAGTTTTATTCACAGGTTGAGAGTAGCAAGATCCAAAGCGAACGATTTGGCTACGCTCTTCCAAAAAAGATTTGAGCCAAGATAAAAGGGGATTCTGTACGCCAAATGAAGAGTTTTAAAAGAAGAAGTTTGTGTGAGACACTGTCGAAAGCCTTAATAAAATCGAAGTAAAGAATTATTACTGACTGACCAACATCTCTTTTCTGGGTAATTTGATCAAAAAACTCCAGGTGCCATGTGAAACATGAGCGTTTAGTCATAAACCTGTGTCGGGATGGGCTGATCAGACTAGCTGAAAGTAAAAACGATAATAGCTGTTTGTGGATGACTTTTCCATGGTTCTTGAGAGCACGGATGTCAAATTACTTGGCCTATAGTTAATAATATCACTACGTGGTCCTGTTTTGAATCTAGGGGTGATAAGGGATGTTTT